TATTTCCTTAAACACTTTGAGAAGAGCAGTAATGGTGCCGTGACAAAGAAAGACTGAGCTTTACCTCCAAACAGTCATTGAACAGAAAGAGTGTGACATGTTCTCCCCGATCGCAGGGTTTGTCACCCAGAGCAATGGTTTCCACCCTGTGAACCAGACTCCGGTGTGACGACAACAGATTGGCCTGCAGGCGCACACAAACATACAAAAAAAAAACATTTGCAAACTTTTCAGCAAATGACTTCATTATAAGTGACTGGTGTGCAGAAGTCTGTTCTACCAAACACAGCGCCTGATAAACACGCTGCATTTCCTGTCCCTGAGCCTGCAGACTCCTCAGAGAGCTGTTCCTGGATCAGACTCTGTTGTGTCCATTCTGCTTCAGTTCCCATGAGCTACAAAAGCCAAACTGATCCAGGAAAAGCACTCCCATCTGCGGGCGATCATTGGTTTGGCAGCCCAGTCTCTAGACGCAGCTGTTCTGGGGCGAGTCTGACAGGAGACAACATGAGCTGACTCACTCCGATCCATTTAGTATTGAGAGAAAGTTTCAGACAGCACGTCTGCATCTCTCACCGCACAGAAAAGAGGAACTGCAGCCAACAATACAGTGTCACACTTTACCATTTACTGTTAAAATAGCATTTAATTTAGTCCACTTATAATGTTAGTCAAGGTTTCTAGCAGCAAAAACCGTCAAGTTAGTTTTACATGACCATTTAAAAACAGGCTGTTTCTGCTACTGTAGCTTTAAAATTAGAAATATACCTTTAAATAGACTATGATCTCTTTCCTATGATTGGCTATCTCTGGTTTCAAAATTGTTGAATAATAAATAGGTATCAGGGTGAAAATGGACAGTGATGTGTTATGGTTCTGACTATGATGATTTCTGAATGACCTGTTTTTATGGCTTAGTTTTCATGGTCGGGGTGGACTGGCGAGGGAGATTTGCTTGGTGAATGTTGAAGTATGCTTACATCATACTCTTATTTCAAAAGGGCAAGAAAAATCCCGTTGGTCAAAATATGGTCACTTCAGTTCTTTTGGTTGGGGCGTAGAAATTATGTGAAGTTATTTGAGAGCTGTGACGACTTTCAGTATATAACATCTTTTATTGCAATTTGTTGGCTCAAAGACATGGAAGACTGCACTACTTGTATAAAGGCAAGTAAATGACAGAATTGGGAGAATGATTTCTTTGAACTCGACTGAGATGGGTGTAAATGTAAGACATTTCCAGAAAAGTGAAAACAAATTACTCACAGGGCAGCCGTCCACCTCATAAACAACATCAAAAATCTGCTTCTGTCCCTCGGTTTTCCTTTTATCTTCATTTATGTGGCTGTGAAAATTAAAAGCAAGAGAGACAAAGAAATCTTTGTATAAACGTTACAATTTTAGCACTATAAAGCTCTTTCAGCTAAAACTGAAAATACATTTTCGGCTGAATATTTTTGGTTGCATCATTAGTTTATTTTAAGGAAAATTTGAATCACAGAACTTACGTCATCACTTCCTTGAGAGACTCGATGGCCTTTTCCAGGGTCACTTTATCAGGGTTGTCATCTGATGTGTGTTTCTTTATATCTATAAAGAACAAAATTCACTGTAATCATGTTTTCTTTCATCAGCATACAGAGGTAAAGTATAACAAACCTGCTATTTTTTTATTTTTTTCATGTAATGGAAAAACATCAATTTTTAAAACTGAATCGAACAAACTCCAAAGTATCTTTTTAAACTATTTAAATCCTCTGGATTCAGACAGAAACAGCTCCAAGCTCGAGCTAACAGCTATATTTATGTGAATTACCATTCAACAGGAGGGCAACACTCGGCAGTCTCTGCACAGGACGAATCAAAAGCTCACCGAGAGTCTGACGACCACACTCAGGTTTAGCCTGATTAATCTGGATAACAAAATAAGAGAAAAGATGTGAATAAACGGCATTCACAAAAAATGCCCATACAAACCCACTCAAATATAGAGCAGACGTCCAACACATTTTGACTATTTTTTTTTTTTATGTTAGCTCTCAAAAAAAAATATCGGAGAACAGAAAATGTGCACCCTGAGGTCAAACTTCTGTTAATTCGGCTAGTTCTGGCCAATATATCAGTTTCTATATAAAACTGAAGTCTTTATACACACTAAAAAGAGAAGACGGTACCTTCAGGAACGCATGAAACCTCGGCTTCTGTCTCTCACATCTGACTATAGTCTCTTTGCTCATCTCAAAGAAGTTGACAAACGGTGGGTAGGCCTTCACCAGCTCTCTAGACTGAGAGAGAATTTTAAAAAATAAAAGAGAGATCACAAAAGCTGCCATTCAGTCTTTGACGGCGTTGTGAGCTTCACACCGGAGGAGGTCGAGTTCAAAGCGTCATCACACTCACATATTTCAGGATAATGTCTCCTACGCTTCTCTCTTCAGACCAGTTCATCACCAACTCCTCGAGATCCACCTGTCAAAGCACATTCATCAGCTAACACGTTCAACACAGCCTTTACTCAGCGTTTTGGAAAGGTTATTATTATACCTTTATTCTTGTGTGCACTTCATAGATGTCTGGAATACTGCCAAAGATGGTCTTGATCTCTTCCTGAGCTAGAATGGGGCCGCCCACCTGGCCCTCTTTGTCCAGGGGGTACTTGAAGAGCTGGGGGGTGGGGGTGATGAACAAAGGAAATTAGATCATTAAGCAAGAATGGATCCCGAGACTCTGACCAGTGGCGCAGGACTTGACAGCAGAGGTCTGCATCCCTGTGTTATCACTAAAGGACCTGATTAGATTTGTTGTGGCGCAGGACTAAACCTCTGATTTGACCTGAACCCCATATGGAATCTATGGGATATTTTCAAGAAAAAGATGAGAAACAGTCGATCCGAGCTGAAGGCTCAATAGTGCCTCAGCAGTGCCACAGGAAAAAATTAAAATAAAAAATTTACTTTCACAATATTCTAATTTTTTGAGATGCACCTGTCTGTTATGTAATATATATGTATGTAATATATATATACGTGTGTGTGTGTGTGTATATATATATATATATATACATACGTATGTATGTGTGAAAAAAAAAAATATTATATACATACATATATATATACCGTATTGTCCCGAATATAAGACGATGTTTTTTTCTTGGAAATACATCTGAAAAAACGCGGTCGGTCTTATATTCAGGGTCTAGACTTTGACATGTCAATAATACACCCACAACCATAGGTGCCGCCATCGGTATATGTACACAGCTACTCCATAAACGTAATGAAGATCCAGTGGACCACAATGGAAAGGTCAGGCTATTCAGTATTGCCTGATGATCTGACTCCACTGTTCAGTGAAATTTGCTGGGCTCTGATTGCGGGCATATGATGTGGCATTTACTATGCAAGCAGACACAGAAATATGAGTGTGTGTGTTCGTATGAGCTCCACATGTAGGGGTTCAAAGCAAAGCTCAAATGTCCATGGCACTGGTGTCCAAATCTAATTAATTTTCCCCCCTACTGGTCAGAGGCACTGGTTCAGTTTGATAAGGCCACAGCCAGGTACTGTGGACTGCCACTTTCCTATGTGTGTGTGTGTATGTGTGTGTGTGTAAGAAGGAGAAAGAGAACACACAAGACACACACACAGAACACAAACCTGCAGGACCGTGGCCAGGATATCAACGTAGTTGCTTTCGGTTTGGTAGAGCTCCTTGGAGACCTGCCAGCGCGCTGACTGCTTAGGAAGGGCGGGAGTTGAGCTTTTGGGAAGTCTGGCATTCTCTAAAACACATAAGCAGAGATGCAGGGATGAGCAGCTGTAAATCGCACACCGTTACTTCTTATCCTCAGATATGTTTCATCCTTTTTCTCAAAATATCGGTTTGAAAATCTGATAAAAAAAAAAAAAAAAGTTATATAAATCTCATGTGTCAAATTGTGCAAGGTTTCAAGTACAAATGAATGATAGAGGAATTAAAAGCAATGTTCCATGTTCAACAACAACAACAAAAATCAAATAAATCATTCAGAGCACATTGTAAAGAGTAAAATGCACTGATGCATCAGTTAATCTTAATTCATTTCTGTTTTAAGACAAAAATCATCTGCATGTTTAGTAAAGCTGATGCTGATTCAATTAAGTTATTTTTTTATTTTATTAATGTGTTATTAATGTGTTTTTGTTAAGTAAATCTAACTATTTTCTGTGGTTATCCACATTATGCCACAAATGAAATGGAATAAAAGAAAAAAACAACAACACATAACTTATTTTTGAAGAGAAATTGACATGAGCAACCTTTTCTACATTTAGTGAAAATACTATGTTAATGGAATAGATTAATGTTTGTATTCATCCTAAACCCTGGGCTAAAGTTACCATGAATGTCACCTGTCTGGTCTGTTTCCTTTCTGCACACAGGAGTACTGATACGCTGCAGTGGCCTCTCTTTCTCTGATCTACTCTGTCTGGCACTCCTCCGCCTACCACTGCTCCTCCTGTGCTTGCGTTCTGCAAAAAACAGCGGCCTCACTCATCTAAAACACACTCTGACTGCTCTCCTGGTTCATCTCAGCCATGGCTGGGATCACCCTGGACCTCTGAGATCAAAGTCTGGAGAGCTTTGGAACACTCACATAATGCAGTGGAATTTTGCAAAATTTTCAGATAACCAAACCAGTTTTTTTTTTTCTGAAAACTGAAGGTTAGAACATTTTTCTGTTTGTTTGACTAACCCATGGAAGACATGGGGAGTGTTCTATTATTTGGTTGCTAGTCACACGTCATATCAGATCATTCATTTTACCTCCGCTAGACTTAAAGGTGTCAGGTGTGTTGGAGATGTCCAGCAGGGAGCCCATGGAGAGGGAGTGTTCAGCCGAGGGTCTTTTGCGTGGTGGGAAGGGAGAAATCTCGGTCTCCTTGGTGAGCTGAGCCAAAGTTTCTCTAAGACGGCGACGTTTGCGGCCACTGTTGGGTGTTGTGAGAGACAGCAGAGACACGGCCTTCTTCATCGCAGGACTCTCAGGCTAAGAGGAAGACGCAGTGACAACAGATATGAGTGTTTTGCTTTTTATGAAGCTGTAAAATCAATGACATTTCTTTACTAAACCTGACCACAAATTTGGACTGTATTCAGAAGACCAACTACTGAAAACAAACAAACACATTATTACTATCAGTGAGGAAATTACGTAGGGAACTAATCTGACAATAAAACTTTTCCTCTTATTTTCGACTTTAATTCTTTAAAACCTTAAAACAAGAATGATCCCTTTTATGAAATGCATCATGGGATACTTTTTAAACTATACTTAAGGAATAAGGTCCATAATTTTTTCCTTTTTAACTTTTTTGCATTATTATGCAGAAAAAAAAAAAAAGTAAAATATAATTTGCTTTTTAGTTTACTTCCGCAACCCAAACGCTGTCATTTTCCTGGTTACCTCACCTTTTCGTAAGAGTACATGGTTTCCCCAGCACGGGCGTCCATTTGTATACTGCCCCAAAACCACTGCAGAAAGACACAGAATGAGAAATAAAATGAGAAGTTAATATACATTCATTTAAAATACTTCAGCTGAACCTTTTACTAACACCTTTAAAGGGGTCATATGACGTTGCTAATGCAATGTAATGCAATGTGTTTATGCGGTTTAAAGGGGTCATATGATGCAATTTCATTTTTTCCTTTCTCTTTGGAGTGTTACAAGCTCTTGGTGCATAAAGAAGATCTGTAAAGTTGCAAAGACTAAAGTCTCAAATCCAAAGAGATATTCTTTATAAAAGTTAACCAACGAAACACACAGCATCTCCACAACATGGCGGTGGCAACAACAATACTACAGCGAGAATAAAAGTTACGCCTTCTTTCTTTGCGTGAACATTTGGGCGGTGTTACGCAAATCTTCCCAGATAGTGACGTAGACATGTGGGGGCGTGTTTAAACAAGACGTTTTAGGTAGGCGTGGATGACTCTTAACTTTTATAAAGAATATCTTTTTGTATTTGAGACTTTAGTCTTTGCAACTTTACAGATCTTCTTTATGCACCAACAGCTTGTAACACTTCAAAGAGAAAGGAAAAATTGAAATCGCATCATATGACCCCTTTAATGTTCGTTTTCTGGTTGTCATTAAGTTACAATTTTCATCTGCTCAAGCAGAACATTAAAGGGGTCATATGATGCGATTTCAATTTTTCCTTTCTCTTTGGAGTGTTACAAGCTCTTGGTGCATAAAGAAGATCTGTAAAGTTGCAAAGACTAAAGTCTCAAATCCAAAGAGATATTCTTTATAAAAGTTAAGAGTCAGCCACGCCTACCTAAAACGGCTC